GAAAATAAATAACAAATGGGGCGAAATGGGTCTGTGAGCTATTTCCCGCTTGACTCCTCCCCCCCCTCCCCCCGCCACCCACAATAATGTATTACGAAATTCGCCAAATGGGGCAAAATGGGTTAGTGCTAATATTCCCAATCAACCCCCCCCCCAAACCTATCTAATATTCATAATTGAAATAGAATAAAAAATATGCCTGCGACTGCTGACAGTTGACCGCCGACTCGATAATTTAACACTGGCGCCATCTCGCGGCATTCTCCCATCTGAACTTCTTTACCACACAGCACACCATCAATAATTTCTCCTAATTATACAAAATAACCTATTAATGGGTATTAATTGGGACCAATTATTTGTCTATCAGCATTTAAATAATTTTTTGATTATATTCCAATCATTTTTGGCCCATTTTTCGCCTTAAAATGACATCCATACCATCCATGCTACATCCATGCTACAACATGGATCCTTATTGGGGACGCTTAATAACAAGACGCCCTCTATGAATGCCTGCGTTAAGGGTGCACATCTACGATACACAAGCAAATGGGGGCTTGTGTGAACGCGTGTGTGTATACCTCTTTGACGGCCATATTGGCAAAAAACAGCGCCCTCAACGATATTTCCTGTTCCCAATTCGCCAGGGAATGTCTGTCCAAGAAGTTACCTTAAAGTTCACTAAAATTTATCTTGTCACTGCAAGGTACCGTTCTGTGCGGACATTAGCTAACTTTTTTGGTATTCTCGCAGATACCTTTCGCAGGTTTGCTCCTTGAGATTATTTTATGTGGAATTTAATATTCCTTTTAATGAGAAAATTTTCTATGTGTTAATTAGTAACCGGAATATTTTGAACCAAGATATTCACACCTATCCACGACAAACCCATTCACATTCATTTCCAGGAAATTATTTTCATATGTACGTCAATGATATCTTCGACACGATAATTCTCATGTCTCCTACTTTTCTAAACTAGAAATTGAAAATACAATAAAATCGTTAGAGTTTATCTCTCGCCTTTATCATAAACAGGAATCTTTCGTAGGATTTATATTAATTTATGATTAGTTGTTTCTTTAAATTAGTATTATTTTTCTTTATTAAGCCTCAGGGCTACAGCAAGTATTGGCAATCTTTTTAAACACATAATTATTTTATTCTTTCGACTCACAAGAGTTAATCATTTCCTGCATTTGTTAGCTTTCCAAAATTGTGAGTTATCCAAGCGTGTAATAAATCGGCTCCAAAATTGTCGTCTCACTAAATAAACATAAGAAATTTTTCCTTTTTAACTAAGTTTATGTCCCATCACTTTCGAATCAAGAGAGACTATCTGTGATTCTAGAAATCCATTATCGATTTGAAAACATTTATTCTGACTGAATAATCTAGCCCATTTTGACATGAATGTTGCACTTGAATCGAAATTCGATTCGCTTATTTTCCATCAAGTGAGAGTAATTCGTACACTTCTTTGTGTTGATAGTGGGCCCACTTTATTTCTGAATTATGAATAGTCTGACAGAATATTCATAGTATAAAAAACTGCTGAAAGAGTATTCATAGTATTAGTAGTAAAAAATATTTTCAGAACTCTATAATCAATTATTCTAAATAATTGCTGGAATCTCTCTTGAATTTTCTTGATACTAATCCATCTCACCCCCCAAATTATGCATTCCACATCAATAATTCATTGAAATTTTACGCAGCATCCTCATAGTTCATGTTCCATACATAGCACCTCATTTAAATTTTTCTAAAAAAAATGCAAATCATAAATGAACAGATACAGAGTACCGGTACACAGAAATTTACAACAGAGTGATCAGAAAATACGGGGATTACACATTCACTTGGAACCATAAGGCAACAACGATGGGCTTCCATCCTATCGAGAGTGCAAAAAAGGTCATAGAAATATTCAATCTCCCAACTACTCCCGACGAATTCATGGAACAACTAACTCCACACTACCAGGAGCTATTTCCACATAGTCAACTGATGCCAGGTATATGATAATACCAATAATACTAACAGAGTTTTCCTTTTCTCCATTTGTGCAGATTCTGAAAGCGTGTACAAGAAAATTTACCACACAATAGTATCTCAGTATGGACATACTTATGGAGGGGATGTTGCATACGCGGTCTTGGGACGTCCAGAACTTGTGGGATTCAATATTATCATTCAACATTACAAATTACCGATCAGCATTGAAGAATTTTCAAAATCTTATCACCAGTTACAGCGAGAATTGTTTGTTACGATTAGAATTATGCCAGGTTGAGATTTGTAGAAAAGAATGATCAATTTTTTTTTAAACTGTTGAATTCATTAGTTTAGTTGTAATTATTTGGTTCATGTTGCTCATCATTGGCTTGGAATTATTGATTCGATGATTTTATTCAATTTTTTTTTCAATGTTGGGTATCACTTTTCGAATTTGCCATCATATGTCGACTAATTTTGTTAACTAACACAGTTGCTCGAACGGCCGCCAGACTAAGGACTCTGTCCAAAATAGCCAGAGCCGTTAAACATCAAATAAGGATACAATTGCTCCATCTGTCACGATTATATAGAATAGAAAAATTCGTAAGTCATTTTGCGAATGTCTCAAAAAGTGGTGGGCTTGACGATAACTGTCAGAAATCTTGTTTTGTTATTCATGAAATTTTCTACGACAAAGTTGTTTTGAATCATTTTTTTGAATTGATTACTTTTTAAGATAATTGCAAACTGACATTAAAATCTCTTTTTTCGAAGGAATTCATTTGAATTTTTGTTGCCGATATCTGTAAAACTATCAATTTGACAGGGAATAGTATATTTCGTAACGAGTGCAAAAAAGTGTTTTTTGGCGAGTGGGAGGTTTATATCACGAGCCGAAGGCGAGTGATATAATCCCACGAGCTAAAAAACATTTTTTCACGAGTTACGAACAATATTTTTCATCACAATGTGGCGGAAACTGAACTTTTAGGCACGCGGAGCGTGCCGAAAAGTTCACTTTTCGTCACAGCGTGATGAAAATATCTTTTTCATTACACTGTCCGTAAAACGGACATTGTGAAGAAAAATTATGTTCGTCACTGGGCCGAAAAGAAGTTTTCTGACTCCTGTGATTGCATTCCTCGGCTTCACCTCGGTCTGCAAACTCCACACTTGTCAAAAAAGTTTTTTTCGGCCAAAAACTTGTGACAGAATAGTTATTTTATACCCCATAAAATGTTCTACAAAAAATGTTGTAGATGGATTCTTTTAACAAACTCAAACTTTATTCTCCTAAAGATATACAAAATTTTTTCACTGTTATGAAGTCATTTCACCATCATTGAACTCCTTTTTGGATTTTTATACTCTATTTATCGACTCTGACGGGTGACAGGTGCAGAGAGAATCCTCCGCCATCTCCATAAGCACAACATTCCGATTGCCCTGGCCACGAGCTCGGGCGAGACCAGTTATGAGTTGAAGACAAAGAAAGTTAAACCAATGTTTGAATTATTTCATCACAAGGTCCTTGGAGGATCAGATGCTGAAGTTAAAAATGGTAAACCAGCACCCGATATATTTCTGGTGGCGGCCCGCCGATTTCCTGATAATCCAGAGCCTTCGAAGGTAAAGTTACCAATTTCCATATAATTTCCACAATTTTGTAGCCAAGTGGTGAAGAATATGGTATTGATTTCTTAACTCTATCCTCCAAAGATATTTGTGAAAGAATCTATATGAAAATTTTACTCTTCTTCTTGAAAATTCCATAGAAAAATCCTTACTACTAGTTCCCAAGCTACGGACTTGGTAAAATAAATGTCAGGGAAGCCTTTTTCCTTGGAGTCCAGTCAATTCACAACGGAACAGATGTCTTCCATGAATGTTTCTAGACATCTTACTTTCAAAGATAATTGTCGCAGTTGTATGAAATTTGCAGGATTCATCACCTTTCTGAAAACTTCAAACAGATTATCTCCGCAAATATCTCGAAACCTATTAGCTTCACATAGAAATATCAAATAGTATATTTCGTCATTAGGCCGAAAAAAACTTTTCACTTTTCTTTTTTAACTTTTTTTTTGGCCGTATGACGAACAATATTTTTTGTCATGACGGCCGTAGGCAGAGATTATTTTCAAGATATTTATTTTCAACCCGAGAAATTTTTTACAAGGCATTTTTTCGACAAGTTACTCGGAATTCCTTTTTTTAGTGCATTTCATTATTGAATTTCACGTCAAAAATTTACTTGAATGCTTAAAATTTGATGTTTTTTCAGTGCCTAGTGTTTGAGGATGCACCGAATGGTGTTCAAGCAGCTCTAAGTGCAGGAATGCAAGTTGTTATGGTACCTGATCCAAATTTACCAAGGGAACTAACTAAGAAAGCAACTATAGTTCTTGGGAGTTTAGAAGGATTCAAACCAGAACTTTTCGGCCTGCCTCCATATGACAATTAACTAGAGCCCATTCTTCAATCTCCAAATAGTTGAAAATTCGTCATCAATCAACCAGAAAAATTGACCAAGTGACGATGGAAAATTAAATTCCAAACACTGATGGATAATTTCAGTTCTCACATTATGTGAAGACACTGCAATGAATCGTCGCCAGGTGCTGACAACTATGCTCTCCTTTCATTTTTTGTTTGAAGATTCCAATACTTATTTTGATAAATTGTATTATGTATGCAATAAAGTGGTTTCCAAGACTATATCTGGATTTTTCTCTTTCCTAATGATGTTGAATCAGGTTTTATTTTGTTATATTGTGTACTAGCATAGATTATGGTACATTGGGGAATTTGGCTGCGGTGCAGAGCTTCAAGGATTCGCAGAGGCGAATTGCTGAACTTTTTTGAAGATTTCCTCGGATTTCAGGTTCGCGAGTGACGCTGATGACTCCTTGCCAAATTCTAAAAGAAAAAAATTGAAATTTTTTGTCGAAAATAAATGGGCTTTTGAACTCTAGTGGAAATACCTACTTGAACCTTATTGAAAACACACAAAAAAGTAATCGGAAGTAGTGATGTTATTGCTGTTGACCCATGATTTCCTAGTGAGGGCAGTACTACTTTCCATTGAAAATTACGGGTCAACGCCAATCACGTCACTGTTTTCGATTACCCTTTGGTGTTTTTAAGGTATATTCCTAGAAACAACATTTTTCTTAAGATTGTCTCCATGTTTTTCATTCTTTGTTCACAATAGTTCCCAGCTATTAAAAAAAATCTAACTAGCTGTATTACACAGTTTAGAAGATGATAAATAATGAAATGTGGGCTTCTAAAACGCGAGACATAGGCCAAACGGGGGTTATGCCCCCCCCCCCCGGCCCCGGCCAAAATCGGTTTTTTCATCTTATGAGAAAACGATTCTTACGAGGTTCTTAAAAAAAATTAATCCGTGATAGATTGATAAATGCCAAATACGGCGAATTTTGTAAAATTTTGTACTGCAAAGTTTCTGCGATGTTCACCTCTACAAAAAGGAAATTTCGTGAAAGCATTCTTTATTTGATTTAAAACATTAATTATCAAATAATTTCTTACTTGATTCAAACAGTCATTGTTACCTGCATCAACACAACATAAGAATAGAAAAACTCAATAACTTATGAGAATGCAATAAATTAAGTTATTTAGAAATTTTTCTGCAAATCCATAGGGATTACCTTTTGGGTCCGATTGTCTTGGGATATACTTTAATAAGATTCAAGGATGCTTCGGCCGGGACTGTAATTGTTTAGTTCAGAGAATTGACAAATAAGAAAAATGCTGTGATGCAAATTTCCCTTCCTTGCGTAAATTTTAATAGAAAATCAATAAAATGATTCGCGTTGGAATTATCGCTGATTGTTCTAGCATTACGAGGATAAGTGGTGTTGTCAGAAACCCTACTTTTTGTTGGAAAATTTCTTGCATACAAAGAGAGTCTTTTGAAATTTTGTCCTAGTAACCACTCTTCTCCGGGATATAACCACCGAATAAACAATTAAAGACTTCATGTTTTTAAGGGTTTCACCACTACACATCCACTTTCTTCGATTTGTATATAAAAATAATGTCAAGTGTGATGTAACTACTTACCATATCGGGCAAACAACCTTGGCTCGATATTCGAGCATTCCCTTATTAAAACTGGAAACTGTGGGTTCGCGACCTTCAGGGGAACATACTGGGACTCAATAAAATCTCTGGAAGATACAATTTTATTAATTTTTCTGAATGGATCTTTGAGGGACTTAACCTCTAAGCTTGGCAGAATGATGCTTTCCTTCAAATTTACCAATATTCTTATGAGTTTATTGATAGTTGAGGATTGCGGGAATTTATTGGATTCTTTTACCTCACTCCTTGACTAGACTTCGACGTTTGACACAAAAGAATTCGGAGTTCCTTCAAATGTGGACGAAATTTGACCGCCGCCATGTTGATAAATGCGGAATTATACTGGCGACAATATGAGAGTGATCTTTCCATCTAACCCCTACTT